CCGCGCCCGCGCCCGCCCCGGCGCCCGCCGCCAACAGTCAGCCCGGGCCCGCCGCCGCGCCCGCGCAGGTGGCCAAGGCCGACTCGCCCAAGACCGCCCTGCAGCCGGCGCCCCCGCCGCCGCAGACCCTGGCGACCAGCTGCCCGGCCGGCGCGGGGTCCGGCATGATCCTCGGGCCAACTATGCAAGGGGCACTGCCCGCCGCCGCCGCCGCCGGCCTCCCGCCGCCGGCCCCGGGCACCCCCACCGGGCTGCCCAAGGGCTCGGCCAGCGCGGTGACCCAGAGCCTGCCCAGGACGCCCTCGGCCACCACCGGCGGGATCCGGGCCACGCTGACGCCCACTGTCCTCGCCCCACGCCTGCCGCAGCCGCCGCAGAACCCCACCAACATCCAGAACTTCCAGCTGCCCCCAGGTGAGTGGCCGCGCCGCTGGGCGGCTGTGTGTGTGTGCTCCCCAGCCGGGAGTCCAGGAAGTTGTCTGGCTGGCAGGACACGGAGGTCATGAGCCTTGCGCGGGCTGCCGCGAGCCGGGGTGCGTCTCTGCCCCGGTCCGGGCCGGTCCCCGGCGTGTATGTGCTGGAGTGTTGCGTGATGTGGCTGCGGGGGCCTCTTAGCTGTGCCAGGCTTGGCTTCTACTCTCCGCTTTGCGTTGGGGAACTTTCTCTGTCGGGACTTCCGCCGAGTGGGCCCTTTCCTCCTCTCCTGGCTTTGTGTGTCCCTGCCCGGTGCCCCCACAGTGGACAGCAGCAGCAGCTGGTGTTCTGGGGACAACTTACTGGGTTATTTAGTCTGGGCCGGTGACTTTCCCACGCTTGGCTTTTCTCTCCCTGGTTTCTGGGATCAGGCATATGGTCTGTGTCCTCACTGAACTCTTCTGCTCTGTTACTGGGCTGGTCTGTGATTGGTGTCCCCTTCCGGTGGTCTAGGGACTCCCTTTCCCGGTGAGGTCAGGGGAGTGATGCCCCCTCCGGGAGGCTGGGTAAGCCTGCGTGGAAAGCTTTTGCTCCCCTGCTGACACCAGGATGGCAGAGTTCCCAGGTGAGCTTGTAGGGATCCTGGGACACACACCCTTCCTGGTCACAGCCCTTGCCTCACGCGGCTCTTGCAGTCGTTTTTCAGCACTTCTCGTGGTGGCTGTGTGGTTCTGCACGGAGTCCTCACTTGGAGGACGCAGGGTTACTTTGATTGTTGCAGATGCAGTCAGCGGTGGGCTAGGGTTCCCTGGTCAGTGAGTCCTTTGGAGGTACAGATGGTGTAGGAGGACAGGCAGTGTCTCTGAACCCACACTCCATCTCCCGTCCTCTGGGCAGCTTTTTAGGGCTTTCTAGGTCCCCGCGGCATTCAGTGTATCCCACTGCTTTCTTTCGGGCTTCCTGGGCAGAGAGAAACCCCAGCACTGGAGGCTCCCAGTCTCTGCTTCCATCCCCGGCCTCGCCTGCGTGGACGCAGAGCGCTCCTCCCCTGCCGTGTAGTAACATGTGCTGGCGGCAGGAGTAGTGGAGACAGCACCGCCTGTGTGTGCGTCCCCTTGTGCCTTCTGAAGCAGCCGTTGGTCACCTTGAGAGGATTTCAGCGTCTTAGAAGGAAGGTCTTGTCACAGTGCTGTGAGGTTTGGAGCGGTGGTGGCACCTGACAGGGATCTGATTTCACACCCCAGGAGGGAGGAGGCAAGGTTCCAGCCAAGAGTGCTGTGTTTGGGGGTGCTGGTGAGGGCTGCCCTGCTTCCAGGAAGAGGTGACGTGAAATAGGTACCTGAGAGGTGCGGGGGTGCCTCTTACAACACGCTTTGTGTTTGAGTTTGTAGGAGGGTTTCATTAAAGGTTCTGTTTTGCTCATTATGTGTATTTTGACCTTTTAGTGGAAAATATGTTTGATCTTTAGTGGCGTTTAAAAAAGAGAAGTCACGGTGGCAGCAGGTTATGTAAAACGTCAAAATACTTTTTAGTTACTCATTAAAGTACTCCCTCAGTGGTCCTCAGTGCCTGCCCCACTCCTGGCCCGGATAGTTCCCTGCACGACGCTTTTGTTCTGAAAACTGTCAGTGAAGTTTGAGGCAGTGGAGCTGGTGAGGCTGGCGCTGTGCCCAGGGAGGAGGCCCCCCCCCCCCCTGCCCCGGGGCACGCGTGTGATGCCTGTAGGTGTGGCGGTTTGGGGCTGACTGGATCCCCTCGCCTCTGCATAGGTGCAGCCTTCACTGCCTGCCGCCTTCTGGGGGAGGAAGCTGTGGTTCTGAAAGGGCGCCTCTGTCAGCTTTGTCATGATTGACCCTGGACGCACTTTCATCTCCTGTTCTACCGGCGGTGTTAAGGATGTCTGCATGTGACAAGTAGGCGACTCCTTGAAGAAAACTAAAAGTGCTGACTCTATGCATGAGTTCTCATGAGTCTTTGCGGTAGTCCCGTGTGTGTATGTGTGTGAGCAGAGAACAGCTCATGTTGACATTTGGGTGACAAATGCGGAGAGCTGTGCTTTAAAGGGGCCAAATGCTTTCTAGAAAATAAAAAATTCACATCCATCTCTTCATGCTTCTCCTACCCCCACAGTCGATCCGCTGATTTGGAGCTCTGATTAATTCTATTCCATCATTTTAATAAAAGCAGGAGCAGAACAAGCATAGTTAAAACTACTACCAGTTCCCCAAAAACAAAGTACTTTCTTTTAAATAGTACAAATTAATTCTATAAATCAAAATGACAGATTATGAATATTCTAGTTGCCTCATGTAATTGATCGATTAGAATATACTAAGTTCTACTTGAGGTCTCCTGTTCATTGAAAGCTCTCATCATAAAAATGTATAAAGCGGAGGTGGAATTAACTTGTGAAAATAGCTATCGCCTGGCTGATAATGCACTCTGGTTAGTACTCAGAGGTTAGGGGTGGGCAGGGTTTTCAAAGCTACACATAGGTGTCAAGTGAAATAACAGACTGTTGGCAATTGGAGTGTGGGTGAGAGAGGCCTGCCCCACCGTGGGGGGTGGTGGTGATGGAAACAGAGGGACAGAGGCTTCGCTGAGTCCCTGAGGGCCCAGCAAGGCGGCCGGCCTTGCGTGTTTCATCCTCCCAGCCCACTGTGAGCTCCTGTTGAATTTGGTTTCAGCAGATTCAGTTATGATGTCTTTTTCAGGATGGTTTTGTAAAGAGATGTTGATGTTATTGTGATTAATTTACTTGTATTAAGGTACCAGAGTCTCAGTTTTAAGCTGCTGTGGGGAATACTGAGAACATGTAAGTCTTCAGAGAGATTGCTGCAGCAAAGGCGGTGGTCCCAAGAACAGGGAAGAGCACTAGTTAGTTTTGTACAGCTTAGAGTAGTCATAACATCAAAGTAATATTATGATTATAGTTGAAAGAAGAGAAAAGTGATATGACACCAAAATTAGCATGTGCGCAAATGGTTTTAAGAGATCTTTTCAGATAGGTGTTACGTTAGAGATGCTCATTTCTAAAGGTTATCTTTTGTTGTCAAGTTTGCATTTTCAGTAGTGTGTGTCTCTGTTTGCTTTCACGGAGAATTTATCCTCCTGTGATGCTCAGGTTTGGCCGAAGTACAGTTCTCATTCCAGGAGAGAACGCCTTTTCTCCATACCCTGGCTTCGGGACGTTTGCATGGGGCTGACTTAAGATGAGCAGTCTTGAGGTGGCTGCGCTTGGAAAGGCGGGGTCTAGGGTGGAGTTCCCATCCTCAGTGAATGGAATTGTTGGATGGTGGGGAAAGAGGAAGAAGAGTCTGGGGGCCGACTGCTGTGTAGACCGGGTTGAGTTCTGGGAGGGCGGACCCTGAGCAGCATGGTAGGGCTTGGGGCTCAGGATGTTCTGGTGGCCGACTTCTGCAGAAGTGTTTGGCACAAGGGATAGTCTTAGGAGTTTATATGTTGTCACTTGAGGGCACTCTTCACCTGGGACAGAATCCATGGTTCCAGGGACCTCAGTTTCCCCAGGTGGAAAGTGGGCTCGACCCTGTTGTGAAGGCCGTGAAACTGCATTGGGATGAACCGTGCACGATTGTCAAGTAGTGTTTATTCACATGGTGTCTCAGCTCCCTGGCATTTGTAAAAATGGCAACCCACTCCAGTATTCTTGCCTGGAAAACCCCATGGACGGAGGAGCCTAGTAGACTACAGCCCATGGGGTTGCAAAGAGTCGGACACGACTGAGTGACTTCACCTTCAAGCAGTATGTGCTATGGATGTAGCCTAGTCTACAGGATGGCTTTATTCCCATCAAATCTGCACCCAGATTGGATAGGTACTCAGCACCCGGGGAGCCTGATTCTGTAGGTGAGAAAGTTGCTGAGGTTTCACAAGTAGGCCGCAGACCTGGGGGACGTGTCCTGACAGACATGGGGGACACGGGGTGCAACTCTCTGCGGAGAGAGTAGATCTGGGCAGGGGCTCACTTTAGGCCAAAGGTCTTGGCCAAGTTTTCCTCTTGATGTACTTAGATAATAGTGGAATTTGAAAAGAAGGAAGAAAAATAACTTTGGGGCATCTCTGCTCAGCGACAGATGAAGTGATGTCTCTGAAGTCTCTTCCCCACTGCTGGCTTGGGGTAGGCCCTCGGTGGACTAGCAGGCGCTCCCTCCTCCTCTCTCTCTGTCCCACCTTCTGTCCTGGCTGTCCCCATCTCTTTAGTGTGGACATAGCTGTCTTGGTGATGTGGCCTGAGATGATGTCCCATGCCCATGTGGGTGTCTTTGGGACTGATGATCCTCACATTTTATAGCAGCAACCAGAAGAGGTGCCCCCAGGCCTTTTGGGTGTGTCTTTTCTCACTGTGCTCCAGGGCAGTGAACCCTGCCGTAGTGGCGGAGTCACTGGAGTTTGAGAAGACAACAGTCAGTCCTGCTGCAGGAGGGGTGAACCCTTATCTGTTAGGGCTCTGGAAGGAAGCAGTTAGGAAGATGGTCTCCTGGCTGGTGGGCGGCCATCCTGTCTCCCTGGATGGTGAGGGTGAAGCCTGGGCTCCTCAGATACCTTCAAAGTTGCTGATCGGTGGGCGCTGGGCCCCCAGCAGTGGGGTGGGATCAGAATAGGACTGGCCCAGTTCTGCCCTGCCCTAGCCCAGGAGGTGGCAGTGGGAAAGAGCAGTAGGGGCGGGCACACCTGTTTGTTTCTTTGAAATCGTAATGAGATGACGGTGGTTCTGACATGCTTCTTGAGCCCATTGCAGTGTGTAAATGTAAGCTTTCCTCATCTTAAGTGATACGTCTGAAGAAAGCTTTTTTATAAATCACTAGTCATGTGTGAATTGATCAAAACATAATTAAAACTGTTTTTGAAAATCTTGAAGCAGAAATTTGAAAGGACTCTGGAGAAACTTGCCTGAGCTTTGGGGTAATTTGCATCGTTCTCAAAAACACTTTTCCTTGTCTTCAAGTTGATAACAAGCCTGAGACTCAGGTTTTCCAGAT